TGATGATGCTCGCCAGTTGAGGGCCTCATGCCAAAGACAGGCCGAGCTGATGCTCATGATGCTCGCGGTGTTTCTCCAACCCGGCCAGCTGATCTTGATAATGCCCACCATCTGAGAGCCCGTGGCAAAGGCATCCCGAGCTGATGCTCATGATGCTCGCGGCATGGGTGTACCATGGGAAAGGCAAGTCGAGCTGATGCTGATGATGCTCGCCATGCGGATGCATCACGCGTAAGTCGAGCCTGTGACGAATGCTGGAGATGCTTTTTCAGCACATATTTAGTGCATTTTCCTGCCGGCCGGCAACAGATTGCAATATGAGGCTGATACTGATCATGCTCTGATGATGCCGGTGGTTTGGGCCTTGTTCCCGCTTGATGCTGATAGTTCGTGCCATGTGGATACACTGTGATACTATGACAAAGGCAAGCCCAGCTGATGCTCATGATGCATGCCGAGCTGATGCTCATGATGCTCGGTTCGGGTGCACCGTCCCGAAAGGAATTCCATCTGATGCTGATGAATGCTCGTCTGCCTGCAAGCCCAGCTCATGCTTACCATGTTCGCCATGTGGCTTTATGCCGAAGGCAAAGCCCAACTCATACTGAAGACGCTCGCAGTTGTTTTTGCATCATGCTCCTGTCGGTTCTGTAGATGTCATGCAGAATTCCAGCGGATGATGTTCACTACGGGTCTAGCTGATGTTGATGATGCTCTGCTGTTGGTACACCATGCCATGGGTAAATACAATGTAATATTCATGATGCTTGGCTGCTTGCGACCAGCTACTGCAGAAGATGCGTTTACAGGCCCTATAAGACCCTATAAAACCCTAAACCCTGAACCCTAAACCCCCTATAAAACCCTAAACCCTAAACCCTAAATCCTATAGACCCTAAACCCTAGACCCTGATAAGGTCATGCAGGATTTTGTCCATCAGCCGTAGATCCCTCGGGGTTCTTGCATTCAGTTTCGACGTTCTCTATGGTTGTTGGTTTCAATGTTTCCAAATGTGTGAGCTCCATGATCTGTGTTTTAATTGACCAAGCCCACACCCGAACCTTAGACTCAAACTTCCCAACCCAAAACAACGACGCGGTCGCCTCGAACCGAAGCCCTGATACCCTAATCGGAACCCGTATAAAACACCTATAGTACCCGTTTTGAACCCCCTAAACCCTAAACCCGTTTTGAACCCTGAAAGGGCCCAAAGAAACCGAGGACTTTCTCCAATGCTTGGCAGATGCAGCCCATCAGCAGAGGCCATAGAGTTCATGGTTTATATAGGGTTTAGGATTCAGTGTTTTGGGTTTCAGAGATTAGGGTCCAGGGCTTTTGGATTTAGGGCCTATAGGGTTTAGGATTCCATGTTTTGGGTTTGGGAGGGTCCATACAGCTATGGTTTGGGGTGCAGGGTTATGGAAGTCCCGTGGGCGCAGGCACTGCTTTGTCAGCACGGCCTGGCGCTTGCACGCAGAAAGTGGGAAAGCTGGCAACGCTGCTTGGCAGGACCGTCTCCAAACGTCCGGTCCGAGCTCAGAAACTTCCACCACTAGGGAGTTTTTTTCTTGTTCAGGGTTTGGGGACCCCAAGCCCTAAACTAAACCCTAAAACGCTTAAATCTTTAAATCCCCAGAACCGGGGTCTTGAGTTCAGCTGAGGATGATGTTGAAAACTCATAGTCTCCGGGCTGAGTCAAGACGAGAATCATAATGACCTGAGGAACACCGAACCCTTTGGGCATAAACACTTCCTATGGGTAGTTCTCTAAGTTAGGGTCCTTGTTAGGGTCCTTTTTGTAAGGGTGCCGTACTATATCGGGCACCCAAAAAAGAACCCTAATTTAGAGAACAACCCCTATTGTTGGGCTTCAGCCTTGAACTTGTCTTCGAGTTTGGGAGGAGCCTCTCCCCTACCCAAGCTTCTGCCTGCTGGGTTTAGGGTTTAGGGTTTCAGACATTACATCAGCAAAGATCGCGCGATGCATGTACTTGCCTGTTCATCATGTGCATGTACAGCAGGATATGTCCAGACATAGGCAAACACAGACACAGGCACAGATTCATCTGCCTACCACCTTACCATCGTCTATCCAGATGTCATATCACCCCTGAACATGAAATCCTCAACCCGCCAGCCTTTGTTGGCAGCGGCACTACACAATGAGTATCATTGATATCATTGAGCATTGATTGCAGCAGATAGTAAGAAAAAAGATCCCCCTGCCTAGGCCCATGAGCCCTGAACCGATCTCAGGCGCGGCACAGGCTGGAGCCAGAAGGATGCTTCCGCCGCGGTTCTCGCCTCCTGGAGAAATAAAATCAGAAGCCCTCCACACATGGGGGCTCTAGTGTAGGGCTAAGATCCAAAACGATTTAGGTTCCATGCTTCCTGGAGAAGCTCAAGCTTCCCAGTAAAGCTCATCTGAGGCAGCCTGAAGGTACTTTACTTGGCTTTGGGATGTAGGGATTGAAGCACTAAGCCGAAAGCCTAGAGACTTGCACCCTGAGCTCTAAATCCTATTGATCGTGGAATGTAATGTATCCCCGAGCCCTACCCGTATAGGGTCCTTGGAGACTTGGGCTGCGGTCAGGGTCGAGGATGCAGGCTTTGCGGTTTGGGAGTAACTTTTGAGAGCGAAGGATACTCAACTCTACACCCGAAAACCACTCTACCCCTAAATCCCAAACCCTCAATCCACCATACACCCCTAAACGCCAAAAACCACCCTAAGCCCCTAAACCCCAAACCCTAAACCCTGAAACCACCCTAAGCCCCTAAACCCCAAACCCTAAACCCTCTAACCACCCGGAACCCTTAAACCCCGCAAGCTCAGAGGTTCTCGAGTCTCGAAAAACGTAAAGCCACGTCTCCAAAGCCGTCTTTCAGCTGAGATGCTGGAGTTCGTTCCGGTGCTGGGTGGGCTCAGTAGCCCTTATAAGGTTTAGGGTTTAGGGCCCATGCCTGTAGCCGAAAAGACCTACAACTGTCAGGGTTCCTTATATATTGTTCCTTAAAAAGGTGGGTCTTTTGGGCCACAGGCAAGCCTTAGGGAGAAAACTGCTATGAGTCGGACTCAGAAACACCTGCCCCGTACGCCAAACCCTGCACCTCGCACTGCGCCCGAGGTTACCGGCACGGCTATCGGTGGAGGCGTCCGGGCTCTCCCATGCCGGACGGAATAGACATTAAATTATAGCGGGCCTGCAAGTATGATTTAAGGTCTATTCTTTACTTAATTAAGGGATATTGGGCTCTCTGGGAAGATCCTTAACCAAGGCTTTTGAGCCGTAAGTCTTAAGCCGAAACTGCCCATCAGCCCTGAAGCGCTGAACTCCAAACTTTGCCCAATCGTGGGTACAATCGTGCCATGCAGCTTGTCATAAAGCCATTTGGGGGTAAGGCTGTGGGATCAAAATGAATATCCTAAAAGCAATCGTAATAAATCGTAGCCGGTGCGAGGACACAGACTTCCAACTTTGTCGAACCCCTCAGTCGCCGTAAGGAATGCTCGGATTTAGGGTATGAAGACTCCGCTTGGGTATGCTGCTTGGGTTTTGGGCCTTGAGTGGCCTTAATACCCCTGCGGTGCATTCATTAGTACTGACAAGTAACTTCCTAGTTAGCTGCCCGAGCTAATATGTGCTGCCCTGGTTCTTGCAGCCCTGGCGCTGTCCTGAAAGGTTTCTTGGCTTTGCCATACACCTCTGCGCCCTCCGGTTTTGTAAGGCGCCCAGCTTTTGTATCGTTGCTTCAGCTTTGTGTCATTGTTCGGTTTTGCATATGTACACTCAGCCCAGACTTCGCCATGTGGCCAACAATTCGGCATATCTTGCGGTGCTCGGATACGCTGCTACTTGCAATTCCTGTCACCAAAGGTTCCTTCTGCCGTGGTGATGCTGATTTCCTGGGCTTTGCTTCTCTTCCAGGCTGCCCACTGCTAAACCCTATAAAACCCTAAACCCTAAACGATCTTACCAGGCTTAGTGGGTGAAGCTTATGAGTCCTGGGTCTCATGTCAAGACGGGGAATCCGAGCCTTCAGGTGCTTAGACATGTTTGAAAAGCGGCTTTTGCATGGTTGTAAGCAGCCGCCTGTTGAGGACTCGGATCTTCTGCAGTACTCCTAGTTGCCTCAAAGCCAGCGCTCTTTGCCACCCGCTTGCTGTTCTGAAGAACCCTGCACTAGGCTTGGCACGACTGCCCTTGTTCCTCACCCAGGTTCCAGATTTGACTGACAAGTACGTCATGTTTCTGCAAATCCTTCCCTTGCCTTCTGCTCTTGCGGCTGAACGTATCGAATTCTGGCTTGGGCTGTGCGATGTCCAGAGCCAGGTAGTTTGAGACAGTAGCGCCTGGAAATGTATGACAAGGCCATGAACGTCTTCGAGACGGGTGTTACGGCTGGTGGAAACATGCTAGGTCCCGTCCTTTGCAGAGCTCCCCTTGCCTCGGAGAACCCCAATCATTCTGCATCTTAAGCTCCCGAGCTTGCCGCCCCTGAACGCACCTTTAGCGATGAGGTCCCTCAGTAGTGAACTCTTAGCCTCAGAGTTGTGTAAGAGGTACCCGTGCCAGTAAGGGATACTCTGATACTCCGAACTCCTGCAAACACCTTCAAACAATGCTTCTGCCAACTTGTGGAGCCTTTTGGAACCTCCATGGAGCCCGTATAGAAGCGTCAGTGAGGCCCAAAGCTTCTCACACCCGAAAGCCGAAACCCTCCAGGCTCACGTCGTCACCGACCTGCTCGTCGAAGAGTCCCGTCGCGCTGGCCGGGTGGTCTCTTTGGCTAAAGACCAGAACTGCATAGTGTTCCAAGCAACAGTCCGTGATGTTCTGCCGGATCGTGGCTCAGATCATGAAGTGAATCTTGTTGCATTAATCTCCTTTGACTTGGGTCGGGTTCTGTTCAGCACAGCCTCGACTTGAAGTAACAAGCGTTTGTACGGTTGACGGATCCAGTCTGGCCTGCATCATTTCCCATCAAAGCCGCCAACATGTTGGCTTGGCATCTGCCTTCGCAAAAGCGGACGTCCTCACAGGACCCATACACCTCGCAGACGTGGGATCAACGTGGTGGCAAACAGGAAGCGAGTCCCGGGCATCTGGCTCGCAGCCCTCCACGAGCTGGATCGTCCATCCTTTGTGGCTCTGCAGCCTGGGTAGTTCCTGGACATGCTTCAGCAGTTTTAATTCCTTATGCAGTTGATTCCATAGTTGCGCTGCTGAGCAACAGGCTCTCACGGCTGAGGTGCTGGCATCCGTATTTCGCAATGCATGTCGTGGAAAACGCTGCAGGTGCAAATCGGCTGCATCTCCAAGACCTGCCACGGGAGCCACCGAGCTGCTGGTGGATGGAGATACCCACAGTGTTGAAGAAATCCAGGATGCCATCAAACAACTGGAGAAGACTGGGAGAAGGGTACACACAACCGTTTTTGCAGAACCTGGTCGTGAAAACAACAAGAACTGGAAGCAGTTCTTCCAACGTCACGCGGTCTCTTTTCGTCCCGTCGACCGAAACTCGAGCAGAGTTGGTGAAGCCAATGACGATGCGATAAACAGTGCCATGAGTAATTGCAGCGATGACGAAAGTTTGGTTCTCCTCACATCCGACTACGATTTCGTAGATTCCATTAAGCAAGCGATGGGCCGAGGCAGGCAGATTCTAGTTTGTGTCTCGTCGAAATATAACGCAGTTATCGAGCGCTACCGGACAGCAGGGGTGCATGTCCAACAACTGCAGCCCCGAGTGTCCGTCTTCCCGAAGGTGCGTGCAATTTTGCATTCAGACGGCAGTGGGCACGTGCAACTGGACGAACCCTGCCCCCCCTGGTACGATACCGAAAGCGCCGATTCTTGCAAAAGCTTTTTGGTCGACTTGGGCTACATGACTGGGCGCGAAGACCATTTTGTTCACTCTACAGCTAAATTCTGGCTCACAAACGAGTTGGGTTCAGTCACCGTGTTCCCTTCGCAAATCGGCGTCAAACAGGTCTGCCAGCAAATGCAGAACCACGGAGGTAGAGAGTGGCGGAGATATGCTGACAACTTGGCATTCTTCCTTCCAAAGTCTTCAGCTGGAAAAAAATTGACTAAAGTGCAGATCGACAAGTTTGGCACCGGCCTATCAAGGTCTTTCTTTAAGGGTGGTGGTCCGTTCATGCTCAAAGATTCCCCGAATTTGGTATGCCAAGCTTTGCGAAGGCTGGGGTACATGGACGACGACATGAACACAGACCTGCGGGAGGCAATGTTTGTTTTCGTGAATGCCCCGAAAAGCAAGTATAACCTGCGGAAGCCGCTGGATGCTCTTCCTTCTGCAACAGACACAGCCGCAGAGGTTGAGGATAAGCTCCGGCATGCATTTCTTTCGAACAGGACGGATGGACAGTGGCGCATTGCCCCCAAGGACGTCCAAACGCGCCAGCAGCTGTGCAAAGAGGGTTTCTTGGCCGACGTGGAGGCAGCACGCGGTGAGGTTTTTCGTGCAATGGCCAAGTATGCTAGGCGTCACCAGCTCCCCGAGATGAAAACCTACAACGGCTATGTGTTCCGTCTCCTCTACCATCTGGATTCCAACCCGAACAAGACTGGAGCCATCGAAATCATGCAGTGAGAGTGGCACGCACAAGGAACATCCGGGTCATCCGATGTTCCACAGGCTTTATTTCTATCGTCATGTGGTTTGACGACGGCGTCGGTCGTCACAGCATCATCTGTAGAAGCAGCTTTCAGAGTACAGGTATATAGCCGCATTCTTTGTCATTTTCTTGACAGCAGGCATGTGCCTGATGAACTGGTGGTGTCCGACAAACGTCGGTTCAGTTTGTTTGCGCTGAGCCGCTAAGCTCGTTACTGTACGGAGGAAGCCACACCTGTTTTTCCAGAGTGCGTGGCTGCGTCGCAGCACCTGGGAATCTGCGTGCGGGTTAATGCCCGAGCGGTGGACGTTCTATGGGGCTCATACAGTACATGGTTCTATGGGGCGTGAGGCCCAATGGGTCGCATCACTTCGGGTATTTGGAGGTAGGCAGGGTCGCATGATAGATGCCGTGATCAGCAGAGCAGGCCTCACCAACATTGGCGAATTCTGTGGCCTTCGCTATATCCTAGAGTTACTTACAGCCCCTTATCGAGCTCTTTCACACCTCACCTTAGGAATACTGGTCAAATCAGAATTAGGATTCCTAAGATAATTTGGGGGATCTGCCTCAAGCTTGCTCGAGGAGTAATGAGCGATCCCAAGATGATTTGGGGCCATTTGGGATCTGCAAAGGTTGTATAAGGTTTTTATGGAGGATTCATGGGGGATTCTAGCTCTAAGCCCTAAACCCAAACCCTAAACCAAAGCCCAAAACACTAGACCCGAAACCCCTACACCCAAAACGCTAAACCCAAAACCCAACACCCTACACCCAAAACCCTAAGCCCAAAATCCTGATCTCAAAACCCTAAACCTTAGAGCCTACAGAAGCAATCAGTAGCCCAGGTAAGTTACGCCACCCTCGCGGAACGACGCTTCGGGCCTGGAGGAATGGACCACAGGGCTTATGGTTTAAGCCATATTAAAAATTTTCATAAGTTATATGGTTAGTCATAGGTACAGTTATAATAGTTAGTTAACTAGCGAGTTACTTGGTCTTAGTTAGCTTGGGGTTCGGGGCTTGGGTGTAGGGTGCATTTGGGGTTAGGTTTGAGGATTTAGGCTTCAAGGTGTACCTGGGGCTCCCAGGATGTCAAGGGCTGATGGACTAAAATGGAGGCTTAAATCAGTACCCATATCACTTTGAGGGTTCCGTATTGTGGTCAGAGTATAACATACCCCAAAACCCTATTCTAATTATTAAGGTGCCTACATTAGGCTGCTTGCTATTATGCTTATCAGCTGCTTATCATTGCGTATACTGCCCAGGTTTATGAATAGTGGTGGCTCTTGAACAATAACTCTCGTTTGTGGTAAAGGGGTTCTAGTACGGTTCCATGTGTTATCAACTCACAGTCATTGCTGTTTCTGCTTGCGGAAGTGTCTGAAACACGCATCAGAAAGGTTAGGGTTTCTGAGGTTAAGGTCTCGAGTCTAGACTATAGCAGCCGCGGAAAGCGCCGGAAGTGATAACGTAGTTGTTCGTTGTTTCGGGTTTGGGGTTGAGCCGGTAGAGCCTACACCCTCACAAGAGCTTGGCCTACTCATCATGAACAGCGAGAAGCTAAAACCACGATAGCACCCAAGTCAATGTATCGAACTCTCAGATTGTACTCTTGCTGTTTGCGCCAGTGACGTGACTCCTCAAGGACTCTACTCTAAGCATCCCTGCTTAACATCCTATACCATTTAAACTGAATTCAAACCCCAATCCCTGGGCATCTACCCATAGGCCCCATAATAGTTCCTTTTTGGGGTTCATATTTAAAATCCTGTAAGGTAATCCCAAAAAGGAACTACTATGGGGCCTATGGGTAGATGGCATGACACTGATTACTTATGCAATGGCCCGGAGAGTAGCCCACCGCTGTTCTCCGGAGGACGTGCTGTGGTGTCCTCGCTCTTCTTGCGGCCAAGCTTGCATTGACCTTGCGGCTTAAGGTTGAGGGTGGAGTGTTCGTGATCAGCCACTCTTGAGGTCTTTACAACAAAAGCCAGATTTCTCTCGCCACAACTGCGCCTGCACATCTATATGGTTACCACACGTCCTTCACAGGAGCAGCACCTGCAACAGTTGCTCAGGCGTGAAGGGAAGCAACTTCTCCCAAGCACAGCGCGACTAACACCCACAAATTCGCGGAACCTCGACCCTAAACGTCTTCACACGTCTTCAACCCAACAAAATAACTCCTATGCCCTATAGCAGCACCTGAAACACTAAAGCCCTAAAGCCTCTAAATCCCCAAAGCGTGTCCCCAGGCTTCTGATGATGGCCACGCTGGTCTCCCAGTTCGCCAAAGCCGGGTCGCTGCTCTCCGCCATCACGGGGCTCCCGGAAGCAGGGCTTAGAGCCTCGGCTCAATGTAGGACCCTTAATGGTTAGAATCGGGTTTTGAGGGGGGGTTCATGTAAAGCGTTGCTTAGAGGGTTCTAAAGGGCTACTAGGGTATTGGGACCTGAATAACTAGAATAGGGTTTTGCTAGGGAGCCCCCCAAAACAGTATAATTATTTAGGGCCCCTAAACCCTAAACCCTAAACCCTAAACCCTAAACCCTAATTTAGGCCCCTATACTAAAACCATCATCTTTTTGGTTTAGGCTTTGCAGGGTTTAGGGTTGACGGTTTCTGTAGTCCCTTGTTTAAGATTATGCCTCTATAGTATAGTACTACATAGTGTATGCAGAACTCCGAAACTCGGTTCTAAGTGTTAAGTCTCCTATATATGCCAGAGGTGAAATAACGAAATCAAACCTTATTCTGGATGAAGTTGTGAAGTCCCTCCCAAATTAGAGGGATTTCTATGTTTTGTTTCTGAGAGTTTGGTTATTCATTTTTGGACGGTTATCTGGATTGGTTCTTAAGACAAGAGGGATTTAGGCTGCATGAAACTTCCAATATTTTAGGTGCAGCGCTGGCCGCGGGACTGTCAGCCCTGACATGGAGAAGCTCTTCCAGCACTACCGCCAGCGTGAACGGATGGCTAACGTGCCCGGGCCAACATTGATGGACCCCTCTTGCGGTGTCCACAACCCTCTAATTAATTTGTATAGGGGCCTTAATACTTACCAATATTATTTTGGGGGTTCCTTATTGTAATTATAGTATAATGGGCCCCAAAACCTTATTCTAACTATTAAGGCCCCTGTATTCAGTACCTCCCAGGATGTTCAGCTCGACACCCAAGGCTCCACGGCCTAAAGCCTCCCAGGCCCTAAGCAGCTAGACCCAAAGGACTGAACCCGTAAAAGCCTATTGGTTAGGGTTTAGGGTTTAGGGTTTAGGGTCTTAGGTTTTCCCTGAAGAAAGGCGTACTGCTACTAACCATCAGAAACGGCGGCAGTATCAAGATCAATGATAGGTAGAAAGACTCTGCATAACTACAAGAGAAACTCAGAGTGAACATAGTAAAAACCTTCCAAGGCCCTTGAACCCTAAACCTTAACCCCCAAGGCTCTGGAGCCCGAAGCCCAAACCCCGAAACCTAACCCCTAAGGCCCTAAACCCTAAACCCTAAACCCCAACCCCTAAACCCCTAAGCCCCTAAACCCTAAGAGGCTAGGCCCCTAAACCCTAAACCCTAAACCCCAACCCCTAAACCCCTAAGCCCCTAAGCCCCTAGGCCCCTAAACCCTAACCTCAAACCCCTAAGCCTCCAACCCCGCTAAACCCAAACCCCTAAACCCCAAAACCCTAAACAGCTAAGCCCCAAAGCCCCTAAACCCTACTGTAAGAGGCTAGGCCCCTAAACCCTAAACCCCAACCCCTAAACCCCTAAACCCCTAAGCCCCTAAGCCCCTAAACCCTAAACCCATAAGCCCCTTAGCCCCCAAAACCCCTAAACCCCAAACCCTAAACCCTAAACCCCAACCCCAAAACCCCTAAGCCCCTAAACCCCAAAGCCCTAAGAGGCTAGGCTTCGTCATCGCCTGCGCGGGGCTCTTTGCTGTTGGCGT